GGTGTCCCCCACAGCTGATTGCGAGACGGGCGATCACTGTGGCCGGTCATTGTGGTTGCTTCCAGAAGAGCACCATGGCACTCCACTCCCCAGCCGGTATTGCCGGGGGTGCACCTGCCCCCCTGCCCGTCACCTAAGCAGCGAGTGCAGCCAGTTGAGGGGCTGCACCGGTGCTCTCAGGGGGCGCACGTGCACCCTCATGCACCCCCTACGCACCACCACTGGCTGGATGGTCACACAGGCCCTGAGCTGTGGGGGACCCCAGTGCTTCCTTCTGCAGTGGCAGTAACCCCTGGGCAGCACCCACACTGGCACCCCACCCTGGCAGTCACAGAAGGGGGGTACCCCCACTGGGGCCCTCCGCAGCCCAGCGCCAGCCAGCAGCTCCCCCCCAGCCACCTAGTCTGTCTGTCCAGAGCATTCTGATTGGTTGTTTCAGTAAGCATTTTGATTGGGTGCCGAGACCACCAATCAGAGTGCTCTGGACAGACAGACTAAGCCTATTATTATTAGAGATTGAGACTATTTAGAGTGTTTGGACGTTGCCTATTAATTATGTTACTAAGTCTAATGACTAAGTCATTTTCATACAGACGATGGTTTCCTTTTCTCTCCCTCCCCTTCCCTGTTTTTAAAAGGTTACTGCATCCAGTTGTTTTATATCCGACCAGTTAAATACAGTGGACCCATCAAGAAGGGTGAAACTCTAGGTACCATGCTACCAATGCAAAGAGTATACCCAGGAATTCAGTCTCACGTTCACATCCAGAATTGTGATCGGACAGATCCCACCTCCAACTTGTAAGTGAAATCTGCAAACCTGGAAACCCGGCCTGCACAACTGGACCTACTTCTGTCCGACTAGCGCATCCACTTCAGTCCGCCGTTCTTTTTGGGGGGGAGACAAGATGCCAGCGAACAAGATACTGCTTGTTATTGCTCCGCAGAAATTGTTCTACTGGTCACAGGAAAGCTAAACAACCGCAAGTGGGAGGAGGAGTGCAGGTGCTTGTTCCCATGCCCATCACTTAAAAGGTGACCTACACTTTGAGAAAAATCCTTGTGAACACCTCACTTCTGGAAAGAAATCTCTGCATTGCTGGAAGCCCTATCAAAAGATGCTTTTCCCCATACCAATGAGAAGCCCAGCCTCTGTATGAAATATTATTTGATTAAAGCCTTGCCTTCCTGTTAACTGAACTTATGTGTTGTTCTCTCTAGGCGCCTTTCTCTGCCTGCCCAGAAATGCTATCTAACCCCCAAACTAAGCTACTTTCCGAGGTGTATCTGCCTTTAAACTAGAGGATCACCTCAAACCTTCCTCTACTTCCTACCAGAGGGTGCCTGCCCCTGGAGAGCCATGCCAGATCTCTTCCATCTAGGTGAGATACCTACTTCCCCCAGTGAGGAAGAAAAATGCCCATTCAATCTTGGCCCAGAAAGTCAAGCTAAGATGCAACACTACCAATGTGCCCCTGACCTCTTCAAGCCCAACGCCATCTGAGAAGTGCTCTGGGACCACTGTTACTAAGGGGGTGTTGATACCTCTTCTTCAGCGCTCTCAGACACGATCCACCTCCCTGCTCTTGCTTTGCTCAGGCCAAAAACAGACATGGCGGGGGCTCCTGCCACGGCTGCTTTCCTGTGATCAACTGTGCACAGTCACTGGTAATAAGGCTTAACTTCACTGAGAGTGCACTGCTCTTAAGACTGCCCTCCTCCTCTCTCCATCAGCCACCACCTAGCGGTGCTACGTCAGGGCAGACCACCCTGTCCCACAGGAGTTGCCTTGCAAACTCAACTTTCTACTGTCCACACTCAATCATAGCCACATCCTGCACAGCCATTTGTAGGGCATGAAACCTTGGTGCACACACGAGAAGCAAAACCGCCGAGACAAGCTTGCACCCCAGCTTTCCCTGATGCAAAACTGCGGGTGACCACATCTCTCATCTAATCCAGGACAAGGGCAGCTGACTTCTCTGCTCAGAATGAGTCAGAGTCCCTGTATTTTGTCAGGGCCCTTTGAGGTCAGCATATCTAGGCCTAATGTCGTGGTCTCAGGTTTTCCAGGTCGACCTCCATTCTGTCTGGATCAACCCCGCTGTGCCTTGAGAGGGGCAGCAACACACAAGATCTACCTGTTAAGGAGGTTTCAGGATCCAGTAGTACCTGTCCTCTGCCAAGATTTCTTTCAGAAAACCAGCACCAGAAACCTAGTCTCCCTCCAAGTTAGGCAGCAACCTCTCCCTGTATGACACGGCTCAGAGATGTGGAGGGGCAGGGCAGGCTGCGCTCACAGCCGGTCACGAGACGGCAATGACTTGCACGGGTGGTCGCAAAGGGGGAGACGCCTGAACTGGCAAAAAGATCAAGGAACGCGGCTTGATTTTCAGCAGCTTAAACTGACAGTAACTTGCCCAAAGCTGTCTTTTGGCTGGTCTGCTAGCACAGCCTGCTGCTCCTTTTGTGAAACTGCGAGACACACATTTTAGGCAAAATATATTTTGTCAAAGTGGAACTAAAACCTATCCTATAGCTGCATTTGCTTTTGTTTTTCTATCAGGACTCGTAGTAGAGATGATCTCTTTTATTAGACCAGCAAGATTTTTTGCAAATGTTTTCTTTAACTGCAAGCTTTCGGACACAAACGCCCTTCATCAGGCATCGGAGGAACGATTGTAAAAGTTCTCCTGGGTAGAAATCTGCCTTCCCGACATGTTTTCCTCTTGCTTTTTCAAGTCATGCCTGGCAGAAATCTCTCACTTGATTACTCCATTTCCCTCTCAGATTTCCTTATTTTTGGTCTTGAAGATGAAAAATTGCAAATATAGTTGATACTTGATTACCAGTGAAGGCCAAATAATATGATTTACTATGATTGCCCCCTGGTCATTTTGAACCTTGCAGAGATGGATTTTCTGGTTTTGAGCATCTCCTTGAGCTTCTGGTCAAAAAACCCCTCCTAATCAAAGTCGTCCCTCCAAAGATGCTCCTGCTGAAAGCCTGGGGCTAGGTACCCTCCCTTTCTTTTTTTTTTTTATGTCCTTAGCAGATTTGGTTGGACTCTGACAGGCTGCATCCCTCTCAAAATGAATGTGGAGTGCTTTTATGTTGATAATGATTGTGTGTGCCTCAGTTTCCCCATCTTTTTTGGATGCAGTCATACCCTAGGGTCAGAAAGGTTCATGTCAAGCCTGGAGTTGTGGGGGATAGGAGCAAGGAGGGAGAAGTGGATCCCTGAATATAGCTGTGTGGAAAAGACCATCCAAGTGGCATGGACTCCTTCACGGGAGGAAGATGCGCTTAAAGACAATAGATGCTTGAGCCCATTAGGATTCATTTTTAACCACGGTCATCAGAGAGGTGGGATCAAACAAGCCTGTTGGGTAATAGATGGTCTAAAAAGAGAAAGCATCAAGGGAGGGAAAAGGAAGTCAGGGGAGAGAAGAGATCCCATCTCTGGGCATCTCCCTGATGCAAGATGTGAGCAGTGGGGTATCCCAGGGCTCAGTCCTCAGGCCCACACTGTTTAACATCTTCATCAGCAACTTGGACGAGGGGGTGGAAAGCACGCTGTCCAAGTTTGCTGATGACACTAAGATGTGGGGC